AAAAGCCACACCACTGGACTCAAGAATCCCCGCTGTACGGAGCATCCGCTAACATCTGTCGAGAAAACCCTGGGCATCTTCGCCCTCAGCTCCACTAAATATCGGAGGCTGGAGTCTACCAAACCTCTCGAGGCGACGCTGCTCTTCCTCGGGCATAACTGGAACCCTGAACTCCTGTACTGGTACCACTGGCTGAGCTGGAGGTGCCTCTGGAGTCTGTAATCCCTGTGCTACCTGCTCAGGTGTGCGAGCAGCGGGGGTCTGATTGCCTCCCCCGGCCTGTGAAGTAGCCGTTGGTGCTGTGGTGGCTGAAACCACCTGAGCCAGGCCCGTGTACACTGTCAAGATCTGAGCTAACGTCTCCTGAAGGCCAGGAATCACTATGGGCACAGCCGGTGCCTGAGCTGGTACTGCTGGAACCTGGTCCGGAACTAGGGCAGCTGGTGGATCAAAGGTGCTTCCCTCGCTGCTCTACCTCGGCCACGACCGCGTCCACGGCCTCTGGTGGCCTCAGTAGGTCGCACTGGTGGTCGTCCGGCACGTCCGGTAGCTCGTGTCCTCACCATCTGTGAGAGAATTGAATAAGGAGAAGTTTAGTATTCGGATCAACAAGTTCGCACGACAAGAATTTCAAGAATGTGGAATTTTCCTAAAGGTTCTGCAGCCTCTCGAGGATAAGTACAGACGTCTCCGTACCGATCCGCGAGACTCTACTAAACCGGCTCATGACTCGCGAGACCTAGTAACCTAGGCTCTGATACCAACTTGTCACGACCCCAATCCCGGTCGTGATGGCGCCCAACACAATGCTTGGCAAGCCCGACCATTTCAACACTCTCAACCCAAATACGAAACTCGTTACCATTTAATAGAGTTAAATTATCAGCTAAACATGATTCCATTCCGTGATAATAGATAAAAACAGTGCGGAAAACCATAACAAGTACCAATACAAGTCCCAACAGATCTGGTGTCACGAGTCTAGAGCCTCTAAATACAGCTGAGTAGCAAATTTATACATATGAGAGTCTAGGATGCGGAAAACAAAAAGGGATAAGGGGAGAAATCGGGTCCTGCGGACGCCACGCAGCTACCTCGATAACTCCGGTGACAATCTGGAGAGCAGCAAACAACTCTACTAAGCCTCCGGGATACCAGTATCTGCACACATGGTGCAGGAAGTAAAGTGAGTACTCCGACTCAGTGAGTAACAGAAATAAATAACGACTGAAGATAAGAAAACTCGTAAAAACACTACACAGTTCTATATCAAAAGCAAATGCAGTAAATAGCAGCTATGTGAGGAAAACAGGTTAATATCCCTCAAACCAGTACACAACTCACTTACTCCTCTCAAAGTCCGGTAATTTACTTACACTGGTGCGGCGTGCAGCCCGATCCGTACAGTATACCGCTGCGGCGTGCAGCCCGATCCATATATATATATACTGCTGCGGCGTGCAGCCCGATCGAATAATAATAGTCGACTGCGCGCACTGGGGGTGTGTAGACTCCGGATGGGCTCCTACAGCCCAAGCGCTATAATACTGCGGCGTGCAGTCCGATCCATATAATATATATATATATATATATATATATATATATATATATATATATATATATATCACTGCGGCGTGCAGTCCGATCCGTATAATATACTACTGCGGCGTGCAGTCCGATCCATACATGTATATGTATATACTGCTGCGGCGTGCAGCCCGATCCGGTATATATCAAATACCCTCACTATGGGGTCCTTGACCCCTCTCAGTCAATATAGACTTGGCCACTCGGGCTCACTCAGCTAAGACAGGGTTTCCAACCCCAGGTATTTCTCATTTGGATTGCCAATTTCTAAAACCGGTTCGTATTATGTTTAACAGTTAAGAACATGACTGAGAGTATGATTTCAACAAGTGAAGTGAGGTCGACTAGCACAACATACCCCCTAAGGGTTCTACAGGTCAGCACAGGGCCCCAAACATGGCAACTAGCCCAATATATACTGATATTAATTAAGTCTCCGTCAAAAATACAGTAGAGTCATCAATCGGGATGGACCGAGTCCGAATCCCCAGCAGTAACTAACACCACGCTCATCATACGGCGCGTGTCTCATCTCAACATAGCACCACGTAGTGCAATTACGGGGTTTCAAACCCTCAGAACATCATTTATAACCATTACTCACCTCAAGCCGGCCGAAATCCTAGCTCGCCTTGCGCTTTCCTCGCAAATCAACCTCCTCGTGCGTAGAATCTGGTCAAAACCAAAAGGAATACATCACAATAGCCTAAGGGAACATAACCCAATCGAAAAGACTCAAAAATTATCAAAAATCACGAAGTTGGCAAAACCTGAGACTCGGTCCCACTTCTCGAAAAATTACGAAATTCACATCACCGGTTTCCTCGTCTCGCACTAGTTCATACATATCAAATTTACCAAAATCGGAGTTCAAATGCCCCCTCAAATCCCAAATTTTCATTTCAAAAGTCAAGCCCCAGTTCTTCCAATTTTTACCCAAATTTCAATGGATTTACAGGTTGATTCTTCAATAAAATGATGTTTCTAGGCCGTAGAACTCACCTCCAATCAATACCCATCGAAACCCTCTTCAATTTCTACCAAAAAGCTCTCAAGGTGTTCAACAATGGAGGAAAATGGACCAAGCTTCGCGGATGATATGATTTAAAAACCCTTCTGCCCAGGTGCAATTTAACTCTATGCGAACGCGGCTCCCAGCACGCGATCGCGAACCATCAGAAACTCTACCTACGCGAACGCGTGCCCTATGACGCGAACGCATTGAACAACTTCACAAGGCCCTGATTTCCTCCTACGCGAACGCGTTACCTCCAACGCGAACGCGATGCTTTGCCTTCCATAACTTCGCGAACGCGACCCTCTTCCACGCGAACGCGAAGACCAAACTTCCAAGCCTCCAATTTCCTCTACGCGTTCGCGACATCACCCATGCGAACGCGAAGGGTAAATCTCTGCAACACCAACAGCTGAAAATCTGCTACTTTTGAAGTCCAAAAATGGTCCGATTGACCACCCGAAACCACCCCGAGGCCCCCGGGACCTCAACCAAAAGCACCAACACATCCTAAAACATTATTCAAACTTGTTCCAATCTTCAAAACACATCAAACAACGCTAACACCATTAAATCACATTGGATTCAAGCCTAAGTTTCTTCAAAACTTCCGAATTACGCATTTGATCAAAAACCCGACCAAAACACCTCCGAATGACCTGAAATTTTGCACACACATCCAAAATCACCTAACGGAACTACTGCAACTCCCGGAATTCCATTCCGACCTCCGGATCAAAATCTCACCTATCAACCGGAATTCGCCAAAATACTAACTTCGCCAATTCAAGCCTAATTCTACACCGGACCTCCAAAACCAATTCCGATCGCACTCCTAAGTCACAAATCATCCCCCGAAGCTAAACGAATCATCGGAAATCACATCTGAGCCCTCTAACTAAATAGTCAACTTCCAGTTGACTTTTCCAAAACAAGCTTTCCTTAAAGAGACTAAGTGTCTCATTTCCATCTAAAACCAATCCAATTCGACTCGATCACCTCCAATACCGATAATGAAGCATAGAGAAACATAAAATGAGGGAAACGGGGCGGTAACTCACGTGACGACGGGCCGGGTCGTCACAGTCCCACTTTTTTTTTCTTTTTTTTTTATTAAATTAATTTTTTCTACACATATCCCTTCCACTCCCTCAGAACCCGCCGAAAAAAACCTTACCGAACTAGGAATCAATTTGAAAAACTTTAGATTTTATCATCGACAACGGCTCCGGCGATTCTCTGTTTTCTATCCCACCCAATACCTTTCACTTTCATTGTTTATCATCTTCTCACCAAGAGAAAATAAACCATTTGCAAAATCTTTTGCCACAAAAAATTACAAAGAAAATATCACCAAAACTAAAAGACTAAAATTACCACCCTCCAAAGATCAAAGAGAAAAATCATGAAGGAGTGAACAACTTTTACCATGATTGAAATCAGACCCAACTTTTTCGAACAAATCAACAAATAATTTCAACAAATCAAAGCAGCGACCACGATCGAAATCAGACCCATTTTTCCCCAACAAATCAAAAAATAATTTCAGCACGACATACATATATATAGGTGTAATCAACGGAGCACGATATACAACAATTCAAAGCCAAGTCAACGACCGTGTGAAGCTCAACATCGGAGGCAAGCTCTTTGAAACAACAGTATCAATACTTCGCTCTGGTGGACCCGGTTCTCTCTTATCCGCCTTATCAAACAAGAATTCCGACGAACCAGAACAAATCAGAAAATAATTTCAGCACGACGTACAAATATATTGGAGTGTGATTGATAGTGAAAAATTAAAGAATAAACAAATATGACGGTTTAATATGGAGCTTTGGAGTGTGATTTATCAAAATTTTTGTTATGGGCTTAATTGGGAATAAAGGAGAAAGAAGAGAAAGGGAGGGATGAGGGATTACAAGGGTGGCGACAATGAGTGAAGAAAAGGAAGGGGCAGGGGTAAGGGTAAGGGGAGGAATAAATAGAGGTGGATCTTTTTTTCTTTTTTTTTTTAATTAAATTTTATCGTATTCACGTGCTTTATACCCGTGATTAACACGCAATTGACCACATCAGCTTTAATATTGGCACATAAGCATAGTCAACGGTCAAAAGTGTTTATTACTATCAATTTTCTCAAGTAAAAGTGTTTAAATGGGAAACCCAAAAGTTCATATATCGGCTTTACAAACTGATGCAAGTTTAAGTGGCCAGAAAGCCATTTCGCCCTTCAAAAAACCTTCAAATATTATTCCTAATAATTTTAAATAATATACCCATTTCAAAAGAACACGGCCGAATTTTCAAATCCATTTTAAAACTTCAAGATTGGTTTTTAATGATAATGGACTTCAAAATTTGATTCAAAAGTGGTCTAAATCACCTCTAACAATCCAAGAACAAACTGGAGTAGAGGAGGAAGAGGATTAGAGAAGAAGGAGAGAGGATATTGGGTGGCTCTTTTTTTTATTTTCTTTGGTTTTTAATTTATTATCCCCAATTCTCTCATTTTTAATAATTCTCATCTGGGCTCTGCTCCAAATCACTCTCCTTCAAAACATCAAAATAGAAGGTGTTTTTACCTCTTTCTTCTCCAAATAGTTCTTTCATTTTCCCCTATTTGCCCTTACCTTAGTTTGGCAATGGAAAACTAGCATGTTCCAAGAGCCAAATATATAGTTCCAGACTTCAGTGGCACTACTATGGCAGTCCCAAAACGCCAATTTCCCATGGCAGCAGCACAGGCACAACGCTTACTATGCCTTCCTAAATCCACCATCAGAGGCACAACAACAACTTTTGCTTCACTTCCCACCTCAACCACAACAACCCCACCATCTGATGACACCTTTTTAGTCCAGAAAATTCTATGGAACCTAAAACAAGGTAAGCCAATCACCAATTCATCACTATTATTACATCGTTTAAACCCATCTACTTTTCTTGAAGTTCTTGGTAGTTGTCGTGATAATTTGCATTTAGCTCAAAAATTCATCAACTTGGTTACTGTAAATTGTCCTAATTTCAAGCATTCCTCGACTTCATTGAGCACTGTGGTACATGTGTTGATTAGGTGTAAGAGGGTAGCTGATGCACAGGCTTTTATCCTTAGGATGATTAGAAGGAGTGGTGTTTCAAGAATTGAGATTGTGGAATCTTTGGTGTCAACTTATGGGATATCCGGGTCGAATCCATATTCTTTTGATTTGTTGATTAGGACTTATGTACAAGCTAGGAAGATTAGGGAAGCTGTAGAAGCATTTAGGTTGTTGCAAAGTAGGAATCTTTGTGTTTCGATTAATGCATGCAATGGTCTTCTAGGCGGGCTTGTTAAGATTGGTTGGGTCGACTTGGCATGGGAAGTGTATGGTGAGATGAGAGGAAGTGACATTCAGCCAAATGTATATACCCTTAATATAATGGTGAATGCTTTGTGTAAAGATGGGAAAATTGAAAACGCGAATCCATTTATTAAAGAAATGGAAGAAAAGGGAATTTTTCCGGATATGGTGACTTACAATACTTTGATAAATGCATATTGTCACGTGGGGCTTCTGGAAGAAGCCTATGATGTGATAAACTTGATGAAAGTTACAGGGTTGAGACCGTGTCTTTTGACTTATAATTCAATAATCAATGGTTTATGTAAGAATGGACAGTACAGGAGAGCAAGGCAACTTTTGGTTGAGATGGTAGAGAGTGGACTGACCCCTGATACCGCTAGTTATAACACTTTGCTTGCTGAGTGCTGTAGAACAGGTAACCTGCAGGAAGCAGAATCTGTTTTCAAAGAAATGTCTTGTCGAGCTATCATCCCTGATTTGGTTAGTTATAGTTCTCTTATTGGGTTGTTTTCAAGAACGGGTCGTCTCGACTGCTCATTGGCGTACTATGAGGATATGAAATCCAAGGGTCTTACACCAGATAACGTAGTCTACACAATTCTCATTGGTGGTTTTTGTAGAAATGGCTCTATGAAGGAGGCTATGAAGATGCGTGATGAAATGCTGGACCAGGGTTTACATATGGATGTGGTGACTTACAATACCATATTGAATGGATTATGCAAAGAAAAGATGCTTCATGAAGCTGATGATCTTTTCAATGAGATGGTGGAAAGAGGTGTAAATCCTGATTTTTACACTTTCACTACGCTTATAAATGGATGTTGCAAGTGTAGTAACATGGACAAAGCACTGACCCTATTTGAGGCCATGCTGCTGAGAAACCTCAAGCCTGATGTTGTGACATACAACAGCTTGATTGATGGATTTTGTAAGGTTGGTGATATGGAAAAAGCTTTCAGCTTAAGGGATGAGATGATCTCTGTGAATATTTCTCCTAATTATATTACCTATAGTATTCTCATAAATGGCTTTTGTAACAAGGGTTGTGTATCCGATGCATTAAGACTATGGGATGAGATGATTGACCTAGATATCAAACCTACTATTGTGACTTGCAACTCTATTATCAAGGGCTATTGCAGGTCTGGTGATGCTTCGAGGGCAGATAAGTTTCTGAACAACATGCGGTCCCAAAGAATATATCCTGATTCAGTAACGTACAATACTCTTCTTGATGGGTTTATAAGAGAGGAGAATATGGATAAAGCTTTAGACTTGGTTAATGAAATGGGAAATCGAGGGCTGTCACCTGATGTGATTACCTATAATACCATACTGGATGGTTTCTGTAAATTTGGTCGAATGAAGGAAGCCAACATGCTGTATAGGAAAATGGTCGAGAGAGGTATTAACCCTGACAAATCCACATATACATCATTGATAAATGGACATGTCTCTCAGGATAACTTGAAGGAGGCTTTTCGTTTCCATGATGAAATGTTGCAGAGAGGCTTCGTTCCGGATGATAAGTTCTAACCTCCTTGCTGTTTATGCAAATGAAGCTTTTGGCTATCACATTCTGCCATTTTGAGATTTCTGCTTCTTCCTTTTTGCAACTCCCCTTGCTGGTGTACAATAAAGGTACGCAATTGTGCTACTAGTTGCTGCCTAACTCCCTCCGTTTCAATTCATGTGAACCTATTTGACTGGGCACGTAGTTTAAGAAAGAATGGTGGACTTTTGAAACTTTTGGTCTAAAACAATCCATAGATATTTGTGTGGCTATAAATCATCTCAATAAGGGTAAAATAGAAGTTTAAAGTTACATTGTTTCCAGATTTAGAAAGGGGTCATTTATTTTGAGACGGACTAAAAAGGAAACAGGCTTACAAAACTTGAAATGGAGGGAGTACTATTTTCTATATAGTTAATATTTTTGTCTTTAAGAGAGTTTTCTGCTCCTTGTTTTTTCTCTGTTCTTCTCGAAATTATCTAATCCGCAAGGCTTGCTTGGAGAAAAGCTATATCTTTTTCATTTATGTAGAATTGCAAATAAGCCCTCGTCTAAATTTGATATTTTGACATTAGGGAATTGCTAGCTAACTGAAATCTGGGAGACCCTTATTGGTGCTCAACAAGACATCTGCCTTCCAAGAGCTGCCTGTTAGTGAGACCATCATCCTGGCAAGAGAGCGGTGCTTCTTTTTCAGAGATGTGCTTTTGGATGTGATTTCGGACTTAAGAGGGCCTTTTGGTAGAGCTGTGATAAATATTTCCACCAAGGTTGAATACCTCGATTTCCTTAAGCTTCTAGGCATAAGTTCTTTAATGAACCAGTTTGGCAGTTCATGCTTTGGAATCACAATGACAGTCTTTGTCAAAGACCATATTATTTACTAAAGTTTTGAGTTTAGTTAGTTTCTTGGCTCCCCACTTGCTGCCACTTCCTGGTGATGATATTTATCATATTAGAACATATAAGAAAAGATTTTTCGGAAGGCGTAAATGACTAGTTCTAATACTGCAAATCAATATTTTCCCCAAATTGGTTGCAACTTTTGCAGACGATGCACAATGTTTGCAAATAGCCAAGGACTCTTCATATAGGACTTTGTGTTTTCCTTGAGCTTGTTTATGGTGTCCAACCCATTTTAGGACAATATTCTTGAGTTATGTTTGTTGTGGGGTGGGGTTGGGGGTGGGGGGTGGGGAGTCTCCGTGTCTACTCTCTGGTTTATGCGTTTCCCTATCCGGTATATAATGGTATAAAATGCCTTACCCAATGATGTCTATTTTGTTTCCTTGTGCTTCCATGTTATAATTTTTTTTTGGTGAAAAGTGACACCTCACTTTCTTGTTTCTTTTAATAGCTGAAATTAAACCTAATGCTTTTTCTTCAGGGACTACTATGCTGAGACAAGCGCACCAAAACAATTACGCATATGCCTATCTTCTGTGAACTTGACGTCAAAGGTATATGTTAATGACATATGGCTGCCATTACCTTCTCTTCATTTGCTAGTTGATTGTTCTGTTCGTGGTAGTCATTCATCAATGAGCATGAAAAAGATTCTAGTGGTAGCTCTCAGAAGTATGTCAAAGATCTAGTTGCAGTTGTGTTATCAAACCAAATGAGCTTCATGTCCTGCATGATTGACCATACTAGGATAGATGTATTGAGGACATAATTTGCCTTGGATGAAACTCTAGGTTACAGATTTTGGGACCACTTCCCGCTCATTGAGAAAAGAGCAGCCCAGTGCATTAAGCACCCGCTATGCGCAGGGTCCGGGAAAGGGCCGGACCACAAAGGGTCTATTGTACGCTGCCTTACCTTGCTTTTCTGCAAGAGGTTGTTTCCACAGCTCGAACCCGTGACCTCCTGGTCACATGGCAGCAACTTTACCAGGTACGCCAAGGCTCCCCTTCCCGCTCATTGAGAAACTGTGGAGAATATGCTATATATCGATATATTGCAAAGACAAAGGGTTGTAATATGGGAATAGTGTAAATATAAAGTGTTGTTGCATATGAAAAATTGTTGGGTTCTTGGATTTGGTTTGGAAAAAGTTGAAGAAAATTTTCATGGAACTTGTGAGCAAGAATGTAAATCTCATGAACGTGACTTCAATTTGGTAGCAATTGGTTGTGGAAGGTGCGGAAGATTGGATTTGATTGTCGGAATGGAAATAACTGGTGCTTAGAGCTACTATCGCAGGATTTAGAGAAGGTGGCATTGAATGGCGCTACTATCGCAGGATTTAGAGAAGGTGGCATTGAATGAAGAAGAACCTTACACTATACAATGGATAAGACAGAATCTCCTCTGTTAATACAGGGCATGTAACAGTGAAGGGGACAGCAACATAGTTAAACAGTTGTGGAATTTTTGTGGCTAGCCTCACTTGATGTTTGTCTCAGTCAATAGTCAAGCCAGCCTTCTTTTTAGGGAGTGTCTTGGTGTCAAGAAAATAGCTGAAAAGAATGTCAAGAAAGATTATTTATACCAATAATAACCTTTGTACAGAAAACTAGCCAAATTTACACTTTGAGCTAAAAAGTAAAATGACTGTATTAGTACTCCTATAACTAAAAAGTAGCTAGACTCATTCATCAATATCACTCACTCTCTTCGGTTCTTAACTACCACGACATTGTAGGGAGAGAGCCTACATTTATTATTTTTAGAAAAAGCTCCACCAACATGTTCATTCTTTCAACTTGATCACAACCTATCAATTGATCCACAAAAAGTTAGTGTTTTCATCTCTGTGCATGAGCAATTCAAATATAGAAAGTAATGATATTAATCTTAGAATAAAGAACTTGAACTTATTGACAACAACAAACCCAGTGTAATTGCAATTACATATGATGTGAAATTAAAAAAAAATTACTATAAAATGGTTGCTCAAAATTAACAGGTTAATTCTATTCATATAGATTTGCTTGAGGTAAGCAGATTCTTTTCTAGTAAGTTAGTAGTAAAGAATTTTAAGCATATGCAATATGAATACGACACGACATAAGAAAATCCTTCCTTAAAGGCAATTTAATTTTCTCCTTTGTTTTTTCCGGTTAAACTATAAAATGATTCGAAAACTAATTACCAAGTTATCTCCTTTGTGAGCTTAAAATCACATACTCCACATCGATTACAACAACGAGTTAAGCACATTATGCAATCCCAAAAACCTTTTAATAGTTAAAATAACAAAATAAAGGAAGTAAAAGTAAAAAGTTGTCATTTTGGATCAAGGGATCGACTTCAAATCTCATTCAAGAGGAGGTTAGGAAGAAGAATTAAAGAGAAACCATACAAAAGACAAAACCCAGCCAGGGAAAGAGTAGGACTATAAGAGCATATGTGACAAATCAACAAAGTAGTCTGACGATGTGAACAAAAATCTAAAAGGAGGTTATATATCAAAATTTTCAATCAACGATTATCAAAATTTTCACCGGTTTTACTGCTCAAAAGAAATCAAAATTTCAAAGGGATTACACCTCAAAATCTAGTAGAGAATATATGTAAACTCTAAACATTGAGAACCATGTAGAAAATGGCATAAGTTTTCTTCTTCTTCTGAAATGGTAATACTGTATTAAAATAGCACTGAAATGGCATAAAATTCTAACATGCATATGGGCTTTAGTGAGTAGGCTTAATAGTAGAAAATAAACCCTTTTTCAAGTAGAGAAAATACTCTCAAATTATTATGTCTTACCTTCGCGCCATAAAGCATCCCAAAAAAGGTAATCCCTCTGTCATTCCAAAACAATTTATATTCTTTAAATTGCTCATGCACTTGTCGCACCGGGTTTTGGGGGGCTTCTAGCATTTATTTATTGTTGCACTTATCATTACTATCACTATGGGTTATGTATTTCTCATGCTTGATGTTCTTTAGAAAAGAGTATGTACGGTTGCATGAGGAGATCGTACTTATTTTTGTTTTTTAAAAAGAAAAACTTCTGTTTTAAAAGTTAAAAAGGGATAACTAAATTGGAGGTTCACTTATGGGCTTGCCTAAAGGCGGCGTTAGGCGCCATCACATTTCTGAAGGCAGAGGGTTAAGTAGTCATCATCTTAAAGATTACCTCCGATCTCGTATGTATTTCCTTTTTCTGGAAAATGACCAAAAGTAAGGAACTAATCCAGAGTTCGAGATCTCATGCGTCAATCCACCAACACTGGGGGGACTATGCATATAGAAGAATACACAAGAAAAGAAGATGTACACCACAAAAGCATAACTTAGCCAGAATTAAAGCCTTGAAGAAACCCTTGAAAAAAATGTCATAATTTCAAAGGCGTTCAAGCGCTCGAAAATAATGGGCAGTAGAAAGTTAAAAAATCTACAAAATACTCCCACAAGCTTTTAGGTTAAAGCCATAGATTTAATCACTGGAAAATGTACACGTATTTGTAAACCTACTACAAGAAAGCAGTTATGAAAATGTTGTACAAGATTATTTATTTGAAAGTTCAAAAAATAAAACTTCTTCAAATTACTTCATTTTCATATCTTTGCACCAATATGAAGATGAGGCGTCATCTTCATCAATGTTGTTAATGTAAAATGATCCTCTTTTATAAAAGACTTGTGCATATTCAAGACGCGGTCTACTAAAGCATTTTTAATGCAAGTATAAGTTCAAAATCTTAAAGAGCAAAAAAGCATAATATGCAGCAAAAGATATTTATATCATTGCCCCATAAACATATGAGGGAAAATCTTCCAGAAACTACCCCAAAAAAAGAGAGTTTCAACAAAAACCAGAACAAAGTCAAATCACTTTCACAAAAGCCAAGGGTAAAAACTAAGGAGCATCATCCACGGGAGAAGAGGGATCAACTTGAGAAGACAAAGGTTGAATATCAGCTTCACCGGGAGTAAGTCCATCTCTATCATATTTGGAACCTTCATCCTCGGGTGTTGAGAAGCTTTCACGTTGCTGAGTTTGTTCAATCGCTTCTTTAGCCTTTGCGATTTCAGTATTAAGGTCAAAACCCTCCTAGCTAGCTTCAGTTAGAGTCTCAAATCGGGTGTTCAAGAAAGCGCAGCTAACATCAAGTGTCAACTGGTCTTCGAGGACCTCAAAATCCTTCTCCCACTGCTCAATTTCAACTCTCAACTCTTCTTTCTCTGCTTCTAAAGCTTCATAAGATGTCTTCAAAGAAGCGAGAGAACTCTCAAGGAACTCAATCTTGTTCGACGAGTCACGAATGTCTTCTTGAGCTTTGGGTGAGCATCTGCACCAAATCACCCGCGTACACCTCTTTCTGGTTAAGGAGCTCTTTCAAACTTCTTATTTCCTCAGTTGCCTTGGAGTGCTGCTTGGCGAAGGAGGATTCCAGTCTGTCCTTGTCTTTTTCAACTTGATTGTAGGAAGCTTTTAAAACTGCTAGCTCACCGGTGATTATCTTCAGTTGTTGTTCCAAAGATCCCTTTTCCTCAGCAAGAACATCTTTCTCCAGTTGAAGGCATTCGAATTTCTCCTTCCAATTATCAGCCTTGGTGCGCAACTCAATCACCTATTGATCTGTCCAAGAAATCCTTCTCATAAGCTCCATACCTGTCAAATTGATCAATAAAAAACAAAGAAATGGAGTTACAAACATGAAAGGAAGGGGAGGAAAGTAAAAAGAGTAAAAATATACCTTCAGTGAGGAATGTATTATATCATTCATCAGAGTCAAGAAACTGTGGGACTCAAGCTTCTTCCTTTCCACGGTACCAAGCAATGGTTTTAACCACACATGGGCTTGTCAAGATTTCTTCAACAGATTCCCACCATCGGGGACTTCAATTAAAACTTCTTCATACCCCGTCTATCGCTAGAAGACTCAGCTTCTTCATAAGAAGCAGCAGCGAGGGCAGCCGCTAGGGTGGCTGTAGGCAGGGAAGCAGGAGGATTGACAGCAGGGGCAACTGATGTCATCGAAAGAGAGGCAAGTGGTGGCTCTTCTGAAATAGGACCAAATTCTTCTTCACCCTCAAATCTCTGGGCAAAGAGTCTGTCAATGGGACTTGAGGGGGGTTATCAAAATTACCAACATCTTCATCAGAGATGTCCAAATGGATAGGCCCATCAACAAGGCTAAAAGGAACTGAACTTGGAGGGGGGTCTTAAGAGACATGGGATTTTTCATCATCTGAAACCACGCGCTTTCTGACTCTTGGTTTCTTCACTAAGGAACCTTCTTCGGTATCCTCTTCATCTTTAAAGCCACGGGCTTCAGCATTCTTCCTTTTGGAGGAAGACACACTTAAAATTTGCTCCTGTGCAGAGCTTACATAAGCGGGGTTGATGCTACGAATGGAAAATCCTAAGAAAAATATAAATAATAATATATCAGAAGAAAAGAAAAGGATGAACAAAGAGAAGGAGAACCATGGGGATAAAATTTACCGTGGGTCTTCACTTTCCAACAAAATTTGTGCGAGAGAAATTTTCAAGATCTATTATCCATGGGAGCAGCAGCCAACATTTTTTTACCCAATCACGGAAGATAGAAATTTCTGCGAAGACTTCCATGGTTGTTGAAAAATGAACGCACACTTATATGAAGAAAATTAAAGCGTTAAGGAAAGCAAAGAAATTAGAGGAAAAATACTTACGTGCAAAGTTCCACTTTTTAGGGAAGGGCATATTCTCATCACCCAACTCACGAGTAGGGGTGGCAATAAATCGAGCTTACCAGCCACGGTCATTGTCATCCTTGGGGCTGACTAAAACTCTTTTATTTCTAGACACGAGGGGAAAAACACCTTCACGGAAAATTTTCGGAGAATACAGGTGGAGCAAGTGACGGAAGGTAAAAGGGGCGGAAACTAAGCCTGACAAGTAATAAAGGAAAAAACTCCCCTTCACACAATTGGACCTATTTGACCGAGGCAAACATTTAAATAGCGGCAAAATTCAATAATCACGGGATCAATGGGAGGAGTAAACCCTAAAGTAAAATGATAGGTATAAACAAAGGAATAACCTTCATGGTAAGAGGTGATTCTTTGATTAGAACTAGGAGTCATTACTGGAAAATCATGTTTCCAATGGCATTCACATCAAACCAAGGAAAGGAATCCTGGAGTAATCAAGTTAGGGTAATGATCAGCGGGATTAAGAGACGCTATGGAAGAAACCTATTTTTTCATAGCTTCATGATCTAATATGAAAGAAAATTCTTGTAGGACAATCTCAGAAATAGTGGATTCTCGCATGGGTTCGTTCTGATCTCTCCCTCTAGAGGAAGATTTAGAGTTAAAGGAGTTCTGGCCCTAGAAGAAGAAAGCTTAGTAGTACTACTTTGGTGATATTGGATTCGGATTTTGGTTCCGGGAGTTGGAATAGCTTCGTTATGTCATTTGAAACTTGTGTGCAAAAATTGAG